CAACTCGGCGTTGCACCTTCAGAGTCCATTTCTGGTTGCAACCGTGGTGCGTGCTGCTTATTTTTGTTCCCAACACGCAGTTAAGGGCTGCCCAGTCGACCAACTGTCACCATAATTCCCAAGTAATTGAAAAATTTTGGAAGATGATTGAGGTATTCTTTTTAAAATAGTGTTTCAGTATAAACCGGTCTATGGATTATACATACTAATTTTCACAGCGTTGATCATATTTAGTCTGGATCTAAAAATAACTAGGGAAGTGTTTTCCAGCAAGAATGTTAAGCTGAAATAGTATATCGACTGATTGAAATAAGGAAACCAAAGATACCATTTTACAAAATTATCCGTTGAATTTTGCGAGATACTATTGGATCTCACTGATCTGTTAAGTGAATTCACACGAAATGAATCACATTTTTCGATTAATTAGGGTCACCGAATCCGAAAACCGGATAAAAGTATTGTAAACATTCCGATCCCGAGGTCCCCCAGTTTGAGAGGCACCTTTCAGTAGATCACAAAAACGCCTTAAAAGGTTCAGTTGGAAGATTCGAATATCAATGATCATGGTGAACGAAATTGACGAGGGTGTGGTCGGGTGGGGGTGGGAGTCGGGGAGAGTCTGATCGCTTGCGTAAATTGTTGTTTTAAAGCGGTAAAGAGCAGTATGGTAATTGTATGTTTAAGGCTTCTGTCAGACTCTCATCAGTCAAAGACGAGAGTTATGAGACCTTAGTTGCATCTACCGTACCCAGCGTTGACACATCCTGGTCGTGTCGGAGAAGCGACAAAACGTCTAAGGAGGAAAGTATTCCGGTGTGGAATTCAGCGATACACAACTAAGAATGAAAAAAACAACGAGGACCGAAATCGCTAGGATTCTTCTGTTACTGAACCAAGCAGTTTGATTAGATTAGTGCGCTTTCCGAACACCGTGATCTGCGCATAGAAGCACACGGTCTGTGAATAACACACACACACACACACACACACACACACACAAACAGCCATCCAGTTCGCTTAATTAAATCGCAGATGAAACATTTTAATATGTTATGCAGTTTTTGAGGAGCATATAGAAACAGACTGAAATAAGTCCTTACATCTATCATCGGAGAATTTCTAAAGGAATTTTTTAAATTCTAGTAAAACCGATGAGTCTTTCAAGATTTGAAGGAATAGATGGAGGTTTGCGAAATCCGCTGACACACGATTTTGAGGATGTCCTTGATCAAAATTCATTTCACAGGTAACGCAAATCTGAGATCCAAATTCATGAAGTTCTCACTTTCAGTCCGACTGACTGCATTGTGAAAGGTTAAATATCACAATACAGTACGGAGATGAGTGTGTCGAATGTAGGGTATAATTTCTATACCGACCCTACTGTATCACCTTACAACACCGTAGTCAAAATGGGTCCAGAAAGGTCATCGAATCGTTGCAGTCTATCGACCGAATGCAACGTATTTCTACCAGCCTTTTGGTGCGTGCATGTGTGTGTGTGTGTGTGCGCGCGCGCCCATATGCGTACGCAACCAAGTGTTTTCTGATCTGGATGCGAATCATTTCACGGCGTCACGTGAACCATCATCTATGATGTACGCACGTGTTTTTACGGTCCCAGTCCTGTACCGATTTAATAGGGGAGTAGAGGATATTCAATTCGTTCAATTTCTGTTCCGCGTCGGTAGCCTAATAGATTATAACAGAAAAATTGTGTTCAGGATAATAACCACTACTGTAATATCCATTATCCACTTTCCGTGTCTCCTCGCCGACTACGATACTGGGAGACAGATAGTGTAGGCAGTGTGCACGCGTTGTAGGTAAACAATGGAGGTCACATCAGAGTACTTGGCCATTCACGTTCGTAGTGGGAAACAGGGCCCGGGGTGAGTGGGTAAACACAAATGGTGATGTTTGTTAAAATGTCTGATTGTATTTATAATTTAAATAAAAACTTATATTTCAGTCAAAAAATGACTTGACAATTTCTTGAGAAGCAAAAATAAAAATGTGGAAAAGAAACTTAATGA